GGATAAAGCCAGACCCTAGAAATGTCAATTTAAGTCAAATTTTCCACGAAATGCGCCTCTTCCCCACCATCCCATGCCTTCATCACTTGCTCCTCCTCTATTTATTGAACAATAATTTCATCATTATTAAAAAACAAGTCAGCCGCCAAATATTTTCATTAACCAAATTAAATATACAGACACATATCCACAGACACCGAACTATTTGATTGTATTTGTGTGCTCAAGTCGAAGCCAATTTTTCAATCATGCGGGGAAAATTTTTCATACTGTCTCACATCTCATTTACGGGACCGGCTATGTTTCTATTTTTAGAATCCATCGTGCCAAAAAATATAATCTTTATAGTCTCAAACAACCGAGCTCTCTCTCTCTCTTCTCTGATTCTGCTGTGGATGTGCATGTTTATTATTTTTCGATATATATACACTTTTGCAGCACTACAGAACTTTTCAATCTCTTATTATTATATTATTATATTTTTTGTGTGTTCGGCACATTAAAAGCACTTGAGCGCACAGCTGCTGACGATACGTTAAATTGAATGTGAAAATCCGGAAAGAAATTGACTTGGTTGCTGTGAAATGAAAATGAACATGAAGATTAAGATGAGGAATTGAAGTCAAGAGTATGAGTGCTGTTCGTGGCTCCTGACTTACTAGCATGATTCTTCTTGTGCAATTGAGTGTGATTTTTTATAGAGATAAAGAAACTTTTTTTACTTCTTGGTTGTTGCTTCTTTTTTTGAGCTCAATCAGTCAAGTGAAATTTAATTTTACTCGAGGAATGAAAAGTTGATGTGTGTTTTTTTTTTCATATTTCAAAAAAATGATGAGCATTGTCATCCTTTATTGAAGAGACTAAAGTATTTAATCCTAGAAATTTTTTCTTTATCCTTTTTTTTCTTAATTTATTCCTCTTTTTTTTTTACAAGGGAAAAAGCCCCCTTAAATAGTACTTAAACTATTTAAAAAAGGCATAAAAAACCCTTGTATTAGGAATTAACTTAACTTATTTAATAACATTTAAACTTATAGTTATTTGGGAGCATTAAACATGAACATTTAAAACTAATCGAGAGATTAAAGCCGTTAACTGTAACTTTAAAACCAATTGCTCAGTGTTGCTTAATTAACCGTTAAAAATTTGAATTATTTGTGCAAGTGCGGATGAACGTAAACAGTGAAGAAAATTAAAATGAAATATTTATATAATTTGATTTCTTGATGAAATTTGCTGTTTGGACGATAAGGATGCATTTTTATCAAGAAGAAACAGTTTAAGGCGTAGTTTGAAGACTCCAGCTGACCTGATTTCGCGGATTTCATTTGTGGATGGAATTTTGAAGATGTTTGCATACTTAAGATGTTATTTTTCTTTATTGTCTGAATTTTTATTCGTTGGCCTTGAAATTCACGATATTTTGTGTTTTTAGGGGATTTTTGAAGATTATTTGGCAGTTAAGCAACTTGCTTTAGAAGTTTAAAACCACTTATTATTTAGAAAGCTGTGTACCCCTTCTTAAAGAAGCTCAACACTCCTTTTCCGTAAGCTCATTCATTTTTAAGTTGTGTACCCATGATTAAAAGTTGTGTACCCATTATTAAAAGTTGTGTACCCATTATTAAAAGTTGTCTACACATGATCAAAAGTTGTATACCCATGATTAAAAGTTGTGTACCCATCATTAAAAGCTGTGTACCCATCACTGAAAGTTTTGTACCCCATCACGATAAGCTCAATCATCTTTTAAAAAATCTATGCACTCTCAAAATAACCTCTTAGTCCAATCTAATCCTCCACTCTCATATCCTCAATCAATCATCTCAATATCATAATTTTCCTAGAACAATCCAGCATATCATCAAACCCTCAATATCCGATATCAAAAGCGATTCCACAATAAAAACATCTTCAAAATTACATTACAATTAAGCAATTTACTTTTCTAGACAATTAATTTCAATTGACATCTGATCTTATCAAATGAATTTTGTAGAATTGAAATTGAATAAAACTGACTGACTGATGATGATGATGATGTATGTCACGGTTTGATGGAATTGAGATGCATGCAATGTAATATTTGCACAATTTGTTTTGTTGTGTTTGGATGTTTATTTACGTAAGACATGACGATTGTACTGAATTATTTTGTTGGATGAATTTTATTGGTGCTTTATGAATTGAGTGTGATGCTATGGAGGGGGATTGGTTTGGATAGGTCAAGGTTTGGTTTGAGAATTGATGATTTTAGTAATCTTTGATTGGTTTTGTGTCATTTGATGACAACTATGAGAACCAAAAAAATACTTTAAGATATATACAACAAAGCATCCACCTCAAACCACATCCAAACCACCCTAAACTTTTTCATTAAATAATCATCAACACCACCTACTCCTACCACCTCATAAATCAAGCTCTTTATCGCCTTGAAGTTAATATTTGAATGAATTTATTATCATATTAACTTCCTGTACATTAAGTGATTCTTGTGCTTCATCTTTAAAATGTTCCTTAATGCGCTAATAAAAAATATTCACATTTTATTTCAATTTTTCTGTATTTTCATGCCTAATTTATAATCTCTAATGCATGACTATTAATCATTTTCTTATTTAATGAATGATCATGCTTGTGATGAGAATGAGATGACTTGGGTTCGGTTGTTTAATGAAGGTGAAAATTTGATAGATCCGGGATACATCTTGGAAATTTTTTGATGATGAATAGTTCAAGTTGGAAGTCATTTGAGGGGTTGCATAGACACAGCCAGACCCAGACTAATTAGGGTATACAAAACTTCTATGGCTACAAGCCACAGTCCAAGCACAAATTTCCTCATTTCCAACATTAAAATAAATTTTATTCAGCTTTAATGCAAATATTTAAATTATTTTAAATTCGTGACAAACCGAATTTAATCGCATCAGCAGCAATTGTTGTGATAAAATATCCGAGATTTATTTTTACATTTTCATTCTTGTGCTAATGATACAAGGACATGGAGCTGTGTAGCATAGTTGTATTCACTAAACGTGATTCATTATTTGATTGCTATATGAATATTTAATTTGTGGAATTTCTGACTAAAGTCATGCTTTTGGTGAGGGTTTTGAGAGAAAAGAACTAACCTAGGCTCAAGTGCAAAGGCACCTGAACCTTAGAATCTAAGTGTGAAGGCACCTGAAACTTAAAACTTAAGTGTGAAGGCACCTGAAACTTAAAACCTAAGTGAGGAGGCACCTGAAACTTAAAACCTAAGTGTGAAGGCACCTGAACCCTAAAACTGTAATGAAAAGACACCTGAACCTTAAATAACTTAATTGTGAAAGCACCTGAACCTTAAATCTAAATGTGAAGTCACCTGAAGTTTAAATTCAAGCAAAAAGTCTTGCAAATTCTTGCAAAAAAATGTATAAATTCCAAATAACATCCAGCATACTCTTTAACTTCCATGAACGAATAAAATCGCAAAAAAAATTATCGCATGCTTCACATTCGAATGACTCAATGAATCCAAAACTCAATGACGTCAATCCAATGACGATATTCTCCGTTCTTCTCTTTTGTGTGATTAATTAAAATATGGAGAAAAAAAGAGCAAAATTCGCTTGTTTCGGTGAATGGAATTTAAATGAATAAAATGAAAATGAGATGAGATTGTGACTGAATTGTTGAGTTGCTTGTCAATTAAAAATAATGTATATTGTGAGGTTTTTAATTGATGTTGACGTTGGCAAAGATTAGTCATATTAGAGATGATGTATGGATTAGTAATGAAGTTGCTTTTAAAGCCGGAAACATGTTAATAGAGTTTTGAAATGAAGTTGGCAAAGGTTAATGGTAATTGTGAGCTTTTACATCGTCTACACATGCGCTTTATCTTCCAAAGTTTGAGGGGATTTGCGTGAAATCTCGAAAATTTTACAAAATTTGCGCACTATGTGACGAAAGTTGGAATGATTTGTGCGCACTATGTGACCAAAGTTGTGGGTGATATGCGCACTATTCAGAAAAATTTAAAATGTCCTTCAGGGTTTATGAGTACTAGTAATCCCCCATAATTCTCCTACATCCTAGGGTCGACCTTAGTCAACAGGGTTGTGTATAAAGATTATTAAGTTCATACATTTCATTCCGTCCAACAGCTTCTAAACTCTTCAGTCATAAAAATGACAAATTTTAGGCGTCAAAAACGCTTTCACGTGTCACCGGCAAAAACTTACAATTATTCATGTTATTAGCAATTTTTAATGAATATTCGAATGAGCTGCTTTGTGTGCGTGATAATCTTATAGCCATGTATGAGTCACGAGTCTATTTTATTTATTTGTTATTCATGTTATTTTTTTAAAATTTTTTTGTTTTTTTCTGGTCGATGATTTGTTTCGTATTTGCACAAGACTTTCTTGTCGGACGCGATTCTTCTTGATAAACTGCACGTTTGCTTTTCTGTCAGAAGGTTAAAGTGTAAGACGGGCTTTAATTTATTTTTATCGCATTAAATGAAGAAATTTGCCTTTTTTTGGGAGAGGTTTGAGGTTTTTGAAGGTCAACTTGGGTGAATCAGAAGAATTTTAAATTTTGTTTTGAGCTTTATTTGCTTCTTAACAATGTGCAAAGATATTTATTTCTGTTGTATACCGCGCAGGGCTCTTACTTCAACTTATAAGCAAAAAAATAATCTGACTTTTTTGTATAATGCGCACTTGTTCATATTCTTTTGAGATAACGCTCATGTTTTTATTTATTACCAGATAATGCGCTCATTCTCTTATTTCTGATGTATAGTACGCACACAAATATATTTCACGTTTACTTCTGTATTTACTACACAATCATGTACCAAACTCTTTCTCAGAAAATCTGTTGAGTCAAAAACTGTTTCGTCAAAATCAATATAATCATTACTTTTAAAAAAAATACGTCATAAAATTATTCAAACTCATACTCATGTCTCTTTCTCTCTCTCTCTCTCTTTTTTGAATTTTTAGAGTGTCACAATATTCAGTCAACATTAAAGCGGCATCGAGACTAAGCGAGAAGCTTCAAAAAATTCTTCAAAAACGGATAAGAAAGCAAAACGAGCAAAAAGGGAGGAGATAAAGTTTAGAAGGCAGAGAAAGAAATCATGGAACTGCTAAAAGAAACTTGATGTTTATAGGAATCTATTTAAAAAAATAATAATAATAATTATTTAATATATAGTAAATAATAACAATAATAATTCATCATCAACATCAATAAATTTTGTCATCAAAAGGACATCAGAAAAGTCGACGGAACCAGGAAGAAGTTCGTCGATTTTTTCTAATCAAGTTTTTATTGAAGTGAAAGTGAAGTTTAAAAAAAAGCACCCAAAACCCTTAAAAAAATAAATAAAAGTGAAAAGCAATAAAAGAACAAAAACAGTAGTCAGACCTTAAAACTGCAAGAAAAACAAAGTTTTATAGTTTGTAAATTTTTGATAAGAAACAAAAAGTTAAAAAATATATAAAAACACTGAATGAAAGTTTTTATTTTGTGAAGAAAAAAATAAATAATTTTTTTAAAGGTCGTTAAACGGTTGTTCCTCCCGAACCCAACAGTTTTTAATAAATCCAAGTGGAATTTTTCTACAACAAATCTGTTAAAAAATTGAAATTTTTACACAAATCCCACCAGAAGCACTTCAAATCAGGTCATCAAAAAAGACTCCAAGCAAAAAATTGTCAAATTTAATTTTTGATTAAAGTAACCTCAAATTTTTTTCTGTCAACAAAACGTGAGAAATTTTGTGAAAAATTAATTAAATTGAAGATTGGAGCATCAATTTTGAAGATTCGAGCCTGGATTTGTGGACATAGAGTCAAGAATCATCAAAATTTGAAGATTTAAACCTCAAAAAGGATCAAATTGCTGAGGAATTTAGGTAAACAAATTGTGGAAAGTAAATAAATACGCAAAATCCAATCATAAATTAACCATATTTAAGGAACAGAACAAAAAATAGTTAAAATTATTCAAATTAATAATCCGACTGGAATTCAAACGTTTGAGGACAATTGAGATCGAATATTCCAAACGAGAAGTTGAATCTTTCAAGTAACATAACCTCAAATTTCGGATATTCAAGCCTCAAATAAAATTGGAAAATTTGCCGTTATATTCCAAAAACCAACCTCAAAGAAAAACATTTCTACACACAAGCAAAAAGCCCATTAAGGAGTGGAGGTAAAAAAGAGGATATAAAATAATATTCATAAAATAATAATAATAATAATAATTAAAATATTTATAATAATAATATATTATTCGGCGGGTGCTCTCGTGAAGTAAATTATACATAAAATTATTTAAAACAAAATTACAATTCTAGTAAAAAAAAAAGTCTAAACGCGGCGCACATTTAGTACATTAACAAAATTACATAAAACAAAATATTCATTTTCGTAACTAAGAAGGAAGAACAAAAAATCAAGCAAAGATGGCAACGATAAATGGAAGACCTACGCAATATCGTATCACGCTTAAAGAGCTGCGTGAGTTGATGGAAAATCGAGGACGAGAAGGAATACAGCGAGTAGCAGATTATGGCGGTACGGCGGGTATTATGGAAAGGCTGTATACATCTGAAGACAAGGGTCTTAGTGGTAATAAACTGGATATTGAGCATCGTCGGGAGACATTTGGATCGAATGTAATTCCACCAAAACCACCAAAGACATTTTTGCAGCTTGTATGTGAAGCCGTGCAAGATATTACGCTCATCATCCTTATTGTTTCCGCATTAATTTCACTTGGCCTGTCATTCTATAAACCTGAAGATGAGGACGATGGTGAGGAAGGTGACTAGTATCGAAAATTGATTTTAAAAAAATTTGGGAAAATCTAGTACATTTTTTATTGTGAAAATCTGATACATTTCCCAACAATCTATTACATTTTTGATGAAAAATCTAGTACAACCTTTTAGAATCTAGTACAAAATATCTAAAAGATTTTATTAAATTTCAAGAAAATCTAGTACATTTCGGAAAAATCTATTACATTTTTGAAGAAAAAATTTGTTACGTTTTCATCCAAATTTTAAGTCACGAAATCTAATCAAAATTTCATTTATATTTTAGTCCTCGTGGAAGAAGACGAGCATCATGGCTGGATAGAAGGTTTTGCAATTTTAGTATCAGTTATCGTTGTTGTTATTGTTACAGCATTTAATGACTACTCAAAGGAGCGTCAGTTTCGTGGTCTGCAATCGCGAATTGAAGGTGAACATAAATTTGCCGTCATTCGAAATGGCGATGCTATGCAGATCCTGGTTGGTGATATTGTTGTTGGTGATATTTGTCAAATCAAATACGGCGATCTGCTACCTGCGGATGGTATTTTAATTCAAAGCAATGACTTGAAGGTCAGTAACAATTACTAGACTTTAATACATGCAGAACTTGCACTAAAACTCAAACTTTTATGTCTACTTCCAGGTTGACGAGTCGTCACTTACGGGCGAGTCAGATCATGTAAAGAAAGGAGAAAATAGCGATCCGATGGTATTGTCGGGTACACATGTGATGGAAGGCAGTGGCAAGATGATTGTCACAGCTGTCGGTGTCAATTCACAAGCTGGTATCATCTTTACACTACTTGGTGCTGCCGTCGATGAGCAAGAACAAGCGATTAAGAAAATGAAAAAGGGTAAGACAACTTTTGTACCAAATTTACACCTCAATTCTATCACACGATGATGATCAATCTTTTTGTTTTGTCTCGGAGAATGTCCACTGTCTCTCTATCTCTATTTCTCTCTATCTCTATGACTATACTCTCATTTTCTTAAGTTCTTCTTCTTCTTCTTGTTTTCGATAAGAACAAGTTCTTTTAAATTGAAACTATTTTATTTTTGGAAATGTGCATGGGCGATAGATGAATATAATTGCATATACAAATATCCCCCTTATTTACATCCTCCAATATTGATATCCTTAATTAGACTTTAGTTTTTGGTAGCACATGGTAATTTGGTGGTTGTAATATAGACTAGATTAAAGACTGTAGAGCTTATCTGATCTAAAATTAAGATGAGTTAAAAGAGAAATCTAAGACAGAGTAATGACTTTTGAGGTTATCTTGACTAAAATGAGGATTTTTGAGGTCTCAGTTTAAGAACTTTTGAGGTGATCTGGATCAGAATGAGGACTTTTGAGGTTATCTGGCCCAGATTGAGGACTTTTGAGGTTATAAATTTCAGTTTGAGGACTTTTTAGGTTATCTGGCCCAGATTGAGGGCGTTAAAAAATGAATTCAAACATAAATCCTGATAATGACCAGAACATACGCTTGTGCTACCCAAAATCCTTCAAATTATCCAAAACTTTTGTAAATTGAGTCACTTCCACCCCCAACTCAAAAAAAAGCTTCTTATTTCTCCATCCCCATCTTATTTATTCTTATCATTTCTTGTCTTTTTATTTCCTTCTCATTATTTATTGTTACATCTTAGTGATAATTTTTGTATTTTGAATAATGATGAATGATGATGATGATAACGCAAGTCATGCATAATTCTGAATATTCAACGTCAAACGTCGGGTGTATTTTAAATTTTCTCTCTTTATGTTCCATTAAATTTTTTTTTATTTTCTTCCACCTCATTTCCATAAATTTTTACATTCTTGTGCCTTTTTTTGTGTCTCTCCTCTTTTCATGTTTATTTTCCATCTTATTTTGTTTTGATAATTTTGTGTCAACATGTTTGTCATCAATTCTTCTTCAGAAAATTTCATTTCTGTTTTTTTCATTTTAAATTTTTTAAATTATAAATTTTCTGTTTTTTTTTTCGACATCTTCTTGTTTATCTTTTCAATGTCCTCATTATATTTTTTTGGTAATGGTGCAAGGTGGGGTGACTTTTGGGTTTCGATTAGAAAATAATGCAATATTTGAGATTTTAGCTGTCCTAGTTTAAGGTTAGGAAGACAAAAACTAAGATTGTGTTTAGATTTTTGAGGTTTGGACTAAAGTGAATTTAGGTATGGACTAAACTGAGGTTAGATAAGGACTTAAGTCAGGTTAAGGGTCATCATTTTAAGGTTAGAATGACTAAAGTTGTGGTAAAGTTACAAAGTTTTGAGGTTATGAAAAGAGAAAAGTGTGGCTATGTGTAAAATTTTAAGGTTAAGTTATGACAAAAGTGAGGTTAGAGATCCAAATTTTAAGGTAACGTTGACACCATATAGGTAAGGCTACAAAGTTTGAGGTTAGTTTGACTAAATAAGGTTTGGTTTCATAATTTTAAGGTTATGAGCCCAAAAGTTGAGGTTAGGATGACTGAATTTTTAGGTTAGGCTGACTAGAAGTAAGGTTAGGGATCTAAATATTCAGATTAGGTTTATAAAATGAGGTTAAAAGTCCAAATTAAGATTAGAATTCCAAAAACACAAGAGTCACCTCTACAATTGTCATTGCCTCTCATTTTATTTACATCTCAACTCTCATTCTTAATTCTATCCGTCATTTTATTCTTAAACATTTTAAATTTTTCTTTGCTTAATTGACACATTTTCTTCTTCATCATCCTTCATCAAAAAAATCCATTTTACGTTGACTTTCTATTCAGAATCTTTCTTTATTTATGTTACATGTGACTCTTCTCCTTCCACACCCATTCAGTCATCTATCCTATCCATAATTTCCTTATCTTGTCGTTTTTTTATTTTCATATATTTTTTATGTTGAAAAAAATTAAACGAAATTGAAACGAGTGAAGAAAAAAAATTGCAATGGAAATGAAAATGAATTTTTCTTTTATGACTCGAGTTAAAATTTATGTTGTTTATGTTAGAACTAAAAGTTTTCTTCATTTGACCGAGATTTTGATCTTGAATCTAATTTAAAATTGAAATAATGAATTTAAATTGGAGATTATTTCTGCTGTTGTGATTTCAGCTTGAATAACAATTGCATTATGAGATGAAAAGTTATGATTTGAAAAACTATTTTCATGAGAAAATGGAAAACTAAGCATCTTAAGAGCTTTTATCAAGTTTTAATGGAAACTAAATTGAAGTTTTATTCAAGATGGGTGGGAATTTTATTGGTTTTTTTAGACATGAAGGGGGTTGAGTGAATAAAATTTAGTGTTTTGAGGTTAGGTTATTAAAAAGTGAGGTTATATTTACGAAAATTGATTCCAATCATTTCCATTGCAAACAAAATTTCAAGTCATTCAAAAATTCAAATGAATTTTTAACGTGAGAATTTTTTCAGAATATTTAGAATTCAAAATTATCCAACATCAAATCGATTTTCAGTTTTACCTTTCTTTCAAAAATTTGTCATTTTAATTTATTGATTGATTTAAATTTGGTAATTTTCAGTTGACCATGACCCATGCTTCTCCCCATTTTTGAATGTCTGTAGAAGTTTGATAAATCCCCCCGAAATTATTTTAGACCCCACTTCCATTAATATTTGATTATTAAAGAAATTTTTATGACTGAAAAAATCTAATCATTAAAATTTTTTTCTTTTTTTGCATGTTGTATTTAATTTCACCATAAAAAACTATAAAAAAAATCCATTAACTATAAAAATTACCTAAAATGAATTTAAATAAAATCACACGTGCCAATCATCAATTAAACCACCATCCACACGTCAATTACTGTGTCCGTCTATATACTCATAATCCAACACACAAAATATATCACAAAAATATTCAAAAAAATCTGAAAAAATTTTTCTAACCCAACCCGGACTGGGACAAATTGCAAATTAAATTTGGCAGAAGCTAAAAAGCAGAAGAAGAAAAAGAGTTTAACAGGTGATTATTGAAAAAAAAAATACAAAAAATTACACACAAACAAATTTTAAACAAAATTTATTTAAAAAAATAACAAAAAAATATTTTAATTTTTGTTGTGATGAAAAATGATCAGAAAAATTCTAACCTTAAAATTTATTTTCGCTAAGGAATTTTTTTCTCAATTCTGCAAAATTTATTTGGAAACTTTTTTTTTTATCTCGATGTGCTTTACACAAAATTTACTAACAATTGAAATAATTTAAAACACTTACACAAATATACTAGTTTGGGAACCTAGTGTGAAGGCACCTGAATCCTAAAATTCCAGTTTGAAGACACTCGAATACTAGAATTATAGATTGAAGGGTTCTGATCAATAGAATTTTAATGTGGAGGCTCCTTAACATTAGCAATCTTGGTGTGAAGGCACCTGAACATTAGAATAGTAATGTGAAGGCACCTTAACATTAAAAATTTTAATGTGAAGGTACCTAAACGCTAGATTCTTAGTGTGAAGGCATCTAAAATTTATAATTCTGGTGTAAAGGCTCCTGAACCTTTGAACTTTAGTTTTAATGCAACAAAACATTACAGTCCTAGTGTGAAGGAACCCAAAAACCCATTTATATTATACATAACATTACCAACCTCCCCACTTGTCGATTAATATTCAATAACACAGCAAAAAACAATTCCCAGACACTCGTAAAATTATTTTTCATTTTAAATTGCCATTGTTATTTCATTAAAGACTATTTTATACCGAAAACATATGTGGGTGGATTTATGGACTTTGTCATGTGTTACTTAAATATGAACAATTTTCTACCTCCTTTTTGTGTCATTTTGAAGAAGAAAAAATGAAACGGAAAACTAATTAATGACTTTTTCCTCGACACTGACATTTCTAATTGTCATTGCGTTTATGGTTTGCTGTTTCGAGCATTGCTTGTTATTAATTTGGTATAATTGCCTATGTGTGACTATGGACAATGATTATTTATTAATTTCATCGATTGCTTAAGATTACTGGGGATGAATAGGCTCTTAAGGAGTTTAGGTGCCTAAACATGTGTCTTACTTACAAGACCATTCAATTTTGTGACTTTTGGTTCACAATTTGCGCCCTTAGCTCAATCAATTTACAACAACCCACACAATTCAGCTACAAAATTGCATTTACCACTTCAAATGCATAAAACCATATTAAATTACATTAAACATTCCTCCATCCCCACCCATTCTCTATTCATTTTCATAAAGTTTTTAATTCCATTATTCTGATTTTCCATCTGAAAATTACATTTTCAAATTAAAGCGAGCAAAAATCGCACATGGAAGGCTAAAATTACGAGGGTGAAAAATTCATTTTAATTCTGCCTTCTTGAAGAAAAGCTAGCAGGTCCCATTAATTAACTCAGCTATCAAGATAAGGCTGCTTGAGCTTATATCCTTGCGAGCTTTAAGATCATAAGTTGAAATTTTGAGAGAATTGTGGGGGCATTACATACTGTGAAGACACCTGAACTTCCAGAACCTTTTTGAAGGCTCCTGGATTTTAAAAATCCTACTGGGAAGACACCTGAACTTCCAGAACCTAGTATGAAGGCTCCTGAATTTTTAAAATTCCTAGTGTGAAGACACCTAAATTTCCAGGACCTTTTTTGAAGGCTCCTAAATTTTAAAATTCTTTTTGTGAAGACACCTGAACTTCCAAAACCTAGTGTGAAGCTCCTGAATTTTTAAAAATCCTAGTGTGAAGACACCTGAATTTCCAGGACCTTTTTTGAAGGCTCCTGGATTTTTTAGAAATCCTCCTGTGAAGACACCTGAACTTCCATAACTTAGTGTGAAGACTCCTGAATTTTAAAATCTTAATGTGAAGACACCTGAATTTCCAGGACTTTTTGTGAAAGCTCCTGAACCCAAATTTCTCTCGATATGCCTACAAGGGTCGTCTATTCTTATTCTTATTATCATTATTGTAACAAATTCAAAAAGGCAACAAAAAAAAACGAAGTGGAACTAAAATTGTTCATTAATCATTCTGTCTCACTTTGTGGCTTCCATAAATCCTCCATATCATACTTATGTACACAGCAGCATACACGTACAAGGCATACACAACTGTACATACACATGAATATTAAAAGTTCTATACTTGACATAGAAAGATTCCTTTTTTTCGATATGTACATACAGAATGCATTATTGTCTAGGGGTTGGGCTAAATTAAAAGCTTGATTGTGAATTTGTTGAGGAGAAAGGTTTTGGTGATGAGGAATTTGAGGTTATGGGAGGGTTTTGCACCCTTATTAAGGTCAATCATATCCTTATCAGTGATACAAGTGGTCCCTAACCCCAAAAAATTCCAAATAAATTTTTATCTCATTCTTAACATAAAAATCGCATCATTAATCCAAAACCGAGCAACGTCCTTCATAAAAAAATCTTTCATTTTACAATCTTTCAACATTTGCGAGTTCATCGCGTCAGCATGAAAATCTTCCAAGTGTCACGCCCTAAGACAGCTCAATGCAGCTACATTTTGAAGATTTTTTTTTTTATTATTTCTTACAATTTTTTCCATAAGAAATATACAAAGTAAAACTCATGACCTACATTTTTATCGACATCGCTTTATGATTTTTCCTCATTTTCTTCACATGCGAGATTTTCCGGTAAATGAAATTTCGCATTTCGCAGATGAAAATTAAAGAAAACATATTTAAAAATGTATCATAAAATTTTATAATTTTTTTCTCTGTTTCCTTTCTACTTCATTGAAATGTGAAATGAATAAAAATCTTTCCTTTTTTTCTGTACACGCCTCCCATTCCACTATTTTTTTATATCTTGTCCTTATTTTGGTATTTTGCCAGTAAATGTTTTGCTCGATTCTCCTTTTTCAATAACTTTAAATATTGCACGAAATTGAATATCTCTTTTTTGAATGATGAATATTTTTCTCTATATATTTAAAAATTATTGAATTTTTTTCTATCTTTAAAGCTAAGTTCTAGTGTAATAGCTAAGTTCTAGTGTCGACCTAACCGAAATCGTCAAATTTTGAATTTATATTGTTACTTAAATATGTAAAATGTCAAAAAATTGTTTTTGGAAATTTTAATATTTTGGCTCAATGTAACCTCACTTGGGGCATATTTTACCTAACGACCGAGGTTCAAACCTCGGTAAAAAAATTATTTTTTACTTTTTTTGAAATTTTTTGATACTTTTTTGAATATTTGAGTCAAGTTTTCAGTAAAAGCTTATAAATATCGAACATTGTAGTTGTTTAGACTCTCCAGAACAAAACATTAAAACTGGCCAAATCCAAAAAGATCCGCAAAGCATATCCACATCATAAAAACAAAAATCAAATGCGAATATTGAACTGAATTATTTAGTTGCATTTTTGAATATTTTATTAAATTTTTCGCTTCCTTCAAACTCTAAACCAATTATCTACGTAATACTAGTCTTTATAGCTGTACAAAAAAGAATGAAAATTTTTAAGGATCAAAAAAAAGATTTTTATGGTTATGTTGCGAGTTCTATACTTAAAATGTACATAAATACGAACTTACTTAAAAATAATGAAATGAATATAAAATGAACGAAAAATGGAAACTTTTTAGATTTCATTTCTGATCATAGAATTTTATTTTTATTTTGCTACATTAAATTAATTTTTAAAAATCAATCGGAATGAAATTTTATTTATTTAAAATACAATCTGGTGATCTGTTGAAGTTAACCTCAAAATTTAAAATAATCTTCAACAGAACATCTTAAAATTTTCAACATAAATTCCAAAAATTTTGCATTTTTCATAAATTTAAGCATGTTTTGCTATAAAAAAGATTTTATTTAATTTTTTAATTCATTCAGAAATTTTCATACAACAAAAAAAGTCTCATAAATTCTAATTTAAAACTCAATCTAACCTCAAAAAAATTCTAATTTTTTCCCAAACTCAAATCTAGATCCAGCAGCAGTAACATCAAACAGCCACATTAGTCACGATGGCAATGGAACTGAAGCCTTTCAATATACACCAAAACCATCAGAACCACAGCCAGAGCGTGCAGGAACACCACCAAGAGAAGAAGGAGGAGGTGGAGGTGGTGGAGGTGGACATAAAAAGGAAAAGAGTGTTTTGCAAGCAAAGCTCACAAAACTCGCCATTCAAATTGGATATGCTGGCTCCACAATTGCTGTGTTAACGGTTGCTATTTTAGTTATACAGTTTTGCGTTAAAACATTCGTCATAGAAGGACATTCATGGAAGAGTACTTACTTCAATGATTTAGTCAAACATTTTATTATTGGTGTCACTGTACTTGTTGTCGCAGTGCCCGAAGGCTTACCATTAGCTGTTACACTTTCTCTCGCTTATTCAGTAAAGGTGAGCTAATTTGATCATAACCTCAAAAAAATACCAAACCTAACCTCAAAATTGTCTTTTTTTCCTTCCAGAAAATGATGAAGGACAACAATTTAGTGCGTCATTTAGACGCATGTGAAACAATGGGTAACGCCACTGCCATTTGTAGCGATAAGACTGGTACATTAACTACAAACCGCATGACGGTCGTACAATCATATATCTGCGAGAAATTGATGAAGGTCACACCGAGATTTTCTGACATCCCAAGTGAGGTTGGAACGAAAATTATCGAAGGCATTAGTATCAATTCGGCCTATACGTCACAGTTACTGGTGAGTTCTCGGTTTATCTTGTTCTGGATATATTTAATAATTCTTATTACTTTTTTCTAATCGCAGCCTGGCCACAATCCTGGTGATCTTGCAAATCAAGTCGGTAATAAGACAGAATGCTCCCTTCTCGGATTTGTTGAGGGACTCGGCAAGAGCTATCAAAAGGTTCGCGATGAAATTCCGGAAAGAGCATTCGTTCGTGTTTATACATTCAATTCTGATCGTAAATCGATGAGTACAGTTATCAATCTACCCGATCGTGGATATCGGTTATACACCAAGGGTGCATCAGAAATCATCTTGAAAAAGTGAGTCTATCCACTCAAATAATATCATATCCTTAAAACTAATGATTGCTTCCCCAATTTTAGATGCGCATTCATCTACGGCCACGAGGGTCGTCTAGAGAAATTCACACGTGACATGCAAGAACGCTTATTGCACCAAGTAATTGAGCCAATGGCATGCGATGGTCTCCGTACCATCTCCATCGCTTATCGTGATTTTGTTCGCGGTAAAGCAAACATAAATGAGGTTCATCTCGGTCCCAATGACGAGCCAAATTGGGAAGATGAGGCCAATACTGTTAATAATTTAACATGTTTATGTGTGGTAGGCATTGAAGATCCAGTACGACCTGAAGTGCCTGACGCTATTCGCAAATGTCAGAAAGCCGGTATTACTGTTCGTATGGTTACTGGTGATAATATCAATACAGCACGTTCAATTGCAACAAAATGTGGCATTCTTAGGCCACAAGATGACTTTTTAATTCTTGAAGGAAAGGAATTTAATCGTAGAATTCGCGATAGCAATGGAGATGTAAGTTCAGATGGATTTACCTTTTAGGTTAATTTCTAATATTTTATTCATTTCTAGATCCAGCAACACTTATTGGATAAAGTTTGGCCTAAATTGCGTGTGTTGGCTCGTTCATCGCCAACCGATAAATATAATTTAGTCAAAGGTAGCTATAGCACATCTCCAATCCCACGCATGTGCTAATCAAGTTCCTATTATTTCAGGTATAATTGACAGTAAAGTAAATGAAAGTCGTGAGGTAGTGGCGGTAACCGGTGACGGTACAAATGATGGTCCAGCATTGAAAAAAGCCGACGTTGGTTTTGCGATGGGTATAGCCGGTACAGATGTTGCCAAAGAGGCCTCCGATATCATTCTCACCGATGATAATTTCTCATCAATTGTAAAAGCCGTTATGTGGGGTCGTAACGTATACGATTCCATAGCCAAGTTCTTACAGTTCCAATTGACTGTTAATGTTGTCGCTGTCATTGTTGCATTCATCGGTGCATGTGCCGTACAGGATTCACCACTTAAAGCCGTACAAATGTTATGGGTGAATCTTATTATGGATACGCTTGCGTCATTAGCCTTAGCCACGGAAATGCCAACACCAGATTTACTTTTACGCAAACCATATGGACGTACAAAGCCACTTATATCAAGAACGATGATGAAGAACATTTTGGGACAAGCAGTGTATCAGCTTACAATTATATTTGGCTTGCTGTTTGTTGGTGATAGAATACTCGACATTGAACCCGGTCGGGGTGCAAAACTTGGCGATGGACCATCGCAACATTTTACCATTATATTCAATACATTTGTGTTAATGACGTTATTTAATGAACTCAATGCACGAAAAATTCATGGACAGAGAAATATTTTCCAAGGAATTTTCACAAATCCAATTTTCTATTCCATTTGGGTCATTACGTGGGTGTCGCAGGTGAGAATTCAAAGCTTTGACTTATAAATTCTGGATTCTAATGTGAGTTGTTTTAAACATTTCAGGTTGTCATCATTCAATATGGCAAGATGGCATTCTCAACAAAAGCTTTAACTTTCGAACAATGGCTCTGGTGCTTATTCTTCGGTTGTGGCACACTAGTTTGGGGCCAACTTGTTACAACAGTTCCAACAAGAAAATTACCGAAAATCTTATCGTAAGTATTAATTTAAGTTTGCAATTTTGAGGTTATGACCAATACTTAGCAAAATATTATATACGATTTTAGGTGGGGACGAGGTCACCCAGAGGAATACACGGAGGCAATCAACATTGGTGGGGACGATTCCCGCTATGATCCATTGGATGACAAGAAACCACGTGCCGGTCAAATTCTTTGGATTCGCGGACTTACACGGCTCCAAACTCAGGTGAGTGTCGATGGCACAAACAGATTTGTGACCTGTGCCTAATCACTACTTACTTTAATTCCTTTTTTAGTTTGATTTTTAAAATTTTTTTAAGTTTTTTTTTTAATTCCTTAAAATCCCATCCAAAAAAATTCTTTTTTTTATAAATATTTCTATCTCTCTCTACTTTTATTATCCTCAATGAGAAATTTCACATTCTCTTTGTTGGACCGAAAAAAAAGTACAAAAATCAATCTATTTTTCTCTTTTAAATTATATATTTACTTTGACAACAAATTACTTTTTCTTAAAAAATGCGACAAAAAAATTCCGAAAATTTACGCATTGAAAAAATTAATTATACAAAAGAGTGCATTTCTTTGACTCATCCTTCTTAAATCCAAGTCTCACCCTCACCAAAACTCCAATCTCATTCCGATGACGATAAATAAATGAAATTTTACTTTCATTTAATTTTTTTCCTATTTTTTTAAATTTTATTTATTTTCACTAGAACTTCTTTTAGTCCTAAATCTATCCTATATCTACTCTAACTTCTATTCCTTGGCACTATAGCTGTCTACTCTTAAAGCTGTGTCTTTTGGCTCTTTTATATCCTTTCAAGTTAAATCCTATCCAATTCAGATCTTCTAAACCTCTTACTTTAAGAGTGTGGAACTGATTTATCACATTTTGATTAATATTTGATCAGTTTCGCACCCTCCTTTTTATTAAATGTTTATTTCTTACTCCTCTCCTTTATGTTTTTCCTTCCAAACTCTCACGTCTATGTTGAGCTTCTCTATTTTATTTTTTTCTCGTCAAAAACAAAATAACTTTTTTGTTACAGATGTTAAAAGCAACAAAGACAATTTTTTTTATTGTTTTTGTTTTTAATAAATTCTTCCTCGATGGATGTCTACCCCAAAATAAATTATTATTTCAACCCCTTGCCCCTTCCCCCCATTTTAGTTGACTCATGAAAATGATAATAAAAACACTTAAAAATCATGAAGAATTTGAATTCATGAACTGATGAAAAATTGAAATTTTGAGGTTAGAACCACATAACCTCAATTTTTTTAACTTCAAAATCAATTCAAGATTTCACTTTCTGCAACATTAATTTCAAAAAAATTTTCATTACGAACTTCATAAAAAATCTTCATAGTTTCACACCCCTTAGATTTCACGATCTTAGAAATGAAAATGTCTACACTTAGTCCATCCAAGTTATTCACTTAATGATCTCATTTTCAAATCTTTAGCTTTAGTTGATTTATTATTTTGAAAATAAACTAAACTTCTTAAAAATAATTTTACCAAAATCTTCAAACTTAAAATAAAGTTTTGTACGCTTTTTAAAAATATTCTTAATTTTTCGTTTTTAAAAATGCCAAATATTAAAAAACAAATTTTTAAATATTTTAAACTAATAAGACTGAAAAATGTCAAAATAGTGATAAACTTTACTCAACTTAAATTAATAAAAATTTGCCAATGTCTCCAATTTTGAGAAGATAAACTTATAAATTAAATCAATTAAACTCTTTGAAACACTTCAGACATTTTAAAAAATAATAAAAAATTCAACAAATTTAAACTTAATAATTTTCACTTTAAAAAACCTCAAAAATTCAAATTTTTTTAAAATTAGTTTTCTTAAATGTGTTAAATACAACAAATTTTTATTTATTAGTTGAATTTGAACATAAACTTTTTAATGAAATTGTGAAAAACTAATTTTTTAACTTTAGAAAAAAATTATAATTTTTTTAGATTTTCCCTCCATTTTACACCTTTGAACTGCTTATAATTTCATCCAAAAGCTTATAAGTTTCGCTGTCTATACTCAACCATGTCGTTAACTCAATTCTTCATTCCACTGCTGTTCTGTCTGCTGTCTTTCAATTTCTACTTTCACTTCTACGAAACCATCCTCCAAAATATTTGTTTTAATTATTGATTTCAACTTACTTTTATTAATTTCTATTCCTACACTCGCACATAATATGTGACATATATTTAATTCATTAAACAATTTAATGAAAAAAAAACATAACCTTAAAATATTCTTTTTTGTAAATATCGCTTTAAAAATTAAGTAAAAGCTGCTAAGCAACAAGAAAACAATTATCATGCAAATTAAACTGTTTTAGATGTCAACAAAAATGATGATTTTTGATTTCACAATTGCATTTTTCTTAACTTTTTTAAAATTTATTTCACATGCAAAAATAATTGGTAAAATATTCAATTTTATCTCTTTTTTTCAATTTTTAATTATTTGATTTTTGCCAAAGTTAAGGATGAAGTTTTTGAATTTGAAAAAATATTGAAAATATTTTAATATAAATAAGTTAAAAAAACTCAAACTTAACCTCACTTTGCAAAAAAATTCAAAACTTTAATTACACCAGACCCCCTTCACGTGACCTTCCCCTTTAGTTTCAAATGACATAAAATTTCAAACCCCATAAAATCTTTAAATTTTCAAAAAATATTGTAAAAAAATTTATATTTTTATTTTTAAAATTTTTTTCGTAACAAAATTTCTCTCTTACTTTTCTCTTTCTCTCTCTTTTCTGCATTCCGAAAAATACACACACAAAAAAATGACCGTAAAATTGTGTTATTTTTTTTACTTTGTATGTTCTTATCCATCAACAGCCGGAAGCGCCAATGAGAGAAACTGAAGTATAAGAATAAATTTAATTAAGATTAAGAAAATCTGTTGACTTTACAAAAAAGTTCATCGTAGGAAAGTTGTAAAATTTTTAAGGTCAAGGCCAGCAATTAGCGCCACATAAAGAAAAAGTCATTAAAATTAATTGTTGGATCTCAACCCGTGCCTGACGATTAAATGTAAAAAAATGAGAAAATTTAGATATTTTTTCGATCAACACCGCTCAACACTAATTAATTAAATCACACGCAACAAAAAAATGATAAAGAAAAATGAATGAAATTAATCATAGCTGAATATAGAATCGTAAAAAATGTTAGCTAATAATAAAAGACTTATGAAAAAGTTCGTTAAAAAATTTAAAAATTATATGAGCAATATAAAGTTGTAGACCAGACTAATAATAAATGAAGTAAAAACTTATGTGAGACTAGTTGACTTAATTTATGGAATATGAGACCTTGAAGGGGTCTAAAGTGTCGTGTTTTTCCTAGATACAGTCCCATTTCTGTTCTTAGGTCTTTATTGTTCAATTCCCATACAATAAGTTATGTTTTGGACCTCTTAAGTAAACAAGGAACATTCAAACTATTGGGAAGGGTAGTTGTCATCTACCAAGACTATGTAGAAGTTCACATATTTGTTATTTTACTATAATATAGCTAGATAGGTACTCAATCTACCTGGGACTGTTTTCTTGGATATACTCTGACTTAGGTTGACCCTAGCTTAGATCTATTTTAGATCAGGTCCTTCCCAGAGTAGGTCTAAGCTAGGTCATAATCCCAAAGTGTACGTCAAGAATCAGTCCCAAATAGAGACATCTTTCAATAAGCAAGAAAAAATTTATTGATCCTTAGTAGACAGCTTATAAGATCAGTACATCCACACAGAAGTCATTCCAGTTGACAAAAAAAAATAAATTCAATCAAAAAGTTGTATAAAAAATTTCAAATTTTAATTAATTGGATGTAAAGTATTTTAAATTTAAGGAAAATTTGATCCATGACTGTGACTAGGAAATTTTTATTAGAATCTAGTGTAGAGTCTTCAAACATAGATATTGCAAAAAAAGATCTTCAAATTTTAGTTTAGTTTGGGAAAAATTTAAATAAAATTGAAAATGTTGTAAAATATTAGAAAATGAATCCAAATAATTAGTACAAAAATTGCTCGAATCTGCGTCAAATTCCACGTCTTAATTCGTCGGTTTGTACAAAAAAAAAACTTCGCTCAAAAATAATTGCTGACAGTCCTTCGATCAAAATTTCTACAAATCACAAAGTTAACTCTCCTCGGATCTGAAATAAAAACTCAAAAAATCTCAGTTTTTCTGCCACGTTGTCAGAAAATTGCGTAAAAAATTTGCAAGTACGTAAAAAATCTTAAAGTAATTTTTTTAAATCAAATTTTGCAAATGAATTTTTTTTAAATTGATATTTCCGGATTGCTGATAGTTGAAAGTTTTTTAATACTATAAATCACTTGTACCTCTTGACCTCCTTGCTCCTTAACCCCCCAACACTCATGAAACATTTTTAATTAATTCTTTCTGTCATGTATCGGACATGTGTATAACTGCATCTTCCTTGCTTGATAAATCCCGTTTAAATTTATCCTACAACTTTCTATTGTTCTCCTGTCAAGTTCTTTGTAATTTCGTAAATTGATGCAAGTTTTAGTAGAAAATGTGATGAATTAAAAAAGTAGCAATTTTATGAAAAACTAATAAGATTGATGGAAATAATCAATAATTGCACGTGTAAATTAGGATTGTAGTCATATTTCAAATGTCCTGGGTTGAAATTGACCTTATTAAGTATGATATCTTGTCTCCAGCCTGGGCAAACGATCAGTAAGGTATGACTCACCAATGACACCTCTTAAGTCACCCAAATGGTTGCTTACATAGACAATACCTTCTTCTTAGCATAAAAACTAGCTTTCAAATCCACAAATGTAATTAAATTCAACATAAATCCTTTGGGAAAACTAACATATTAGATGCGAATGAATTAAAAACATTCGGAATGCAACTGACCTTAGTTGACATAGTCTGTAACTTTATTAAATTTTTGAAGCATCTTGACAAGCTGTAGATCCCTCAAGAATTATTTATTTTAGTTTCACAATTTTTTTAACACAACATTTTGAATGTAAAACTTTTTATTTATGCAACAATTTTTTTGACACTTCTTGTTGTCTTTTCAGAACCTTCCTTCTTTTTATCTGTGATAAAATTTATTTTTTATTTTTATTTAAACTCCGGCCAAATTTCAATCTAAATGAATTTTCTTTCAATCCAAACAATTTTTATATTTTAGATGTGTGGCAA